ATTTTTTTCAATTGTACATTATATACAATTATATATAATCAAAATGTGTTTTATTTGGTATAGTTTATAGCATCTGTGAATTAATTATAGTTTTAAAATTATGTGCTTAAAGCTCAGTGTTTTTTTTATCAATATATAGATATCATATAAGCATCCAAAAGTTTTTTTAATAAAGTATAAGTGTTAAGCAAACCATAACTGTTATTCTTAAGAGAGAGACCTAAACTTTGTGCTAATCTACTTTGCTTGTAAATCGAATAGTAAAATACCTTTCCAGTAAATTGTTGTATATAAGTTATAAGGTAAATAATGTCTAGACGTTTTGAAACAGTAATTTAATATTTGTAAACGGTCAGGTAGTGGTTACAAATTTTGGTGTTAAAGAAAACATCTTCACTAAAACTTAACATATTGTAAAGAAAAATAATTGTTAATTAATATAATTATGTAGTTTTTAAGGAATAGTTTGTTAGGTAACTGGTTGTCTCAATATTTTTACTTATTTCAACTAGATTACTGGCTTGCATAAGATTTCAAATGATTTATACAACATAAAGATATATACATTCATAGGTATACATATTAAAAATTTCATCCCAAGGATAATATACTTAAAAAAAAATCTAGTGTTATCGCTGAAGAGCTTATATCAAACAGTAGTAACGTTATTTCTACTTAATCTATATATGTAATATATGTGTTAAGGAATTACCAATATTAAATATTTTATCACTATCGGACACTTAAAGTTTTACTTTTATTATCTAATATTGTTGTGTTTATTGACTACTACTATTAAATATTTTATGACCATAAGGCACTGATAGATAAACTGAACATATCAACATACTTTCGACATATATTATTGTTGAATTAAACTAAAATATCAAAAAATAAATACAATCAATCAAATATATTAATACTTTGGTATTATATGAACTATTTCTGTACGACTTGACTTATTTAAATAATTATATATTTTATAACCAAAAGCATTAAACGCTTTCATTTATACATAATATTACATTATTGAAATTCAAAAGAGCTAGAAAATATGCAGGTTGCTGTGGGAAACAAAAGTAGAATAAAGCTATATATTCGTAAAATTAATTTGAATAAATATTTCATATATACCTATGATATTTGTACGTCGGATAGCTCCAAGATGGTGGCAAACCGTGCAATGCGTGTCACAAAACATCAAAATCATAGAGAAGCATAAAAATATTTATGTATTTATTTTGCATAATATTGAAAGAGAATTATTTTCATGTTTAGATACATTTTGTTTGCTAATAAATAGGTAATAATTGGGGTGTACGGTTTACCTAACCGCTTCTATAAACGAAACATAATTGGTTTAAAAAAGTTCCTTGACAACAGAAATTATTATTAAATTAATTTACCATAGTACCATAGTAGAATATATACCATAGCAGCAATTTTAGATAGGTATGTTTCGGAGCACGATATTTATAATATTTCAATATATCATAACGTTTAAGTTCAGTTTTTAATACTAGTCGTCAAGTACTTATATCGTGCAAAACAATTTCAAAATAGATGCAAGCATATCGGGACAACTTTAAGCAAACTCCCTGTCCATCAGCTGTAGAACAGGTAGCACATACCAACCCTACGTCATCCTCACGCTTACCGTTCTCCAAGTCGGTACGTAGTCGCAGTGCAACT